GTTTGTCAAGAATATAGATTAGAAACCTTTTCTTCATTTGTATTTAACATAATTTGCCCAACAACTTCCTTCTAAATGGTTTTAGATTTATTGCCCATTCTGAGTTTATTCTTAATTTCTGTCTTTCAATATAAAGGTCAGTCAATCTGAAGTTTGTGTGAGTTATAATTGAGGAAGTACTAGCTAAGAGCCTTTGCTTGTTTTTGACTAGTTGTTGTTGTTACCTGGCCAGTATAGATAATGTTATTCTTTTTCTTATGGTTATCGATTTAGCTTCTCACAGACACTTTGGGTCACACAACTACCTTTCCATTAGCCAATATCTGGTTATATAGTTCCCCACGATATTCAGTTTATAAAGGGGATGTCTGAATTATGCTCTTTCATCACAGAAACTCTTCATATGTCTAATTAATTATAAATTTCTGATTGCATCTTAAACTTAAATGCTCACAAATTTTTATCAATAAAATGATATGGTATTTGATTAACTTCTGGGTTATGGTAATTATGTCCAATTATAATGGAATTTCATCTTCAACTATATATTTCCTCTACTTATACCTCACAGGGTGATGTGGGTAGCTTAGATTTTCCTCTGCTCTCAGTCTGTCATCTTCTTTCATGCTGTCCTTTATTTTCAGTCTATGGTTTGCCATAGTGTCTAATTTTTTTTTTCTAGTCTTGAAGCTTTCTTGTCTTTTGGTTTCACCTTGATCTCCACTGAGAATTTGGCTTGACTGATGTTGATTATATACAACAATGAGTTTCATTGTGATATTTCAATATATTATAGGGTTTTGCATAGTCAGTGCTTGGTAGGCAAAAGAGAAAAATAATATAATTCACATACATTTAAGTTATATATAAATAAGTCGGTTTTAATGTGTCTAATGCTTGTGTTTCAACCTAAGGAATATATTATTTTATTATAGAGTCATCCTTTTAATAAGACTTTTTCCAGAGCTACAGTCAGGGAATGTGCCTCCTGTATTTCAAAAGCAATGAGAAGTATATACATTTAGAAAACCTGCTGACAGGAAATCTGGCTTTATAAATGAGTCAGTGACAAAGCTCTTGTCCCTATGAGCCCTATCACACTGAGCCTTTTATGTGTGGACATTTTTTATGATTCTGGCAGCATTTTGTAGTAACACTCTGACCCTGGATTTATGTATCAGGATGCTGGCCTTTATTTCACATTGCTACTGTATAAAGATATTAGGACTGAATTTACAACATTTAATATTTTAAGATAAGTGTGTGATGAGGTATGCTTGTCATCTTTTATTTTTATTCTAATATTTAACTTGTGTAATTTTTTAAATTCAAATTCGAAATGTTCTAAATGGCTAGTTCATACTTGGATAGTTCATACTAAATGTGTGAATGACACTTTTGGGGTGTTTATTAATGGGAGCCTCTGAATATTGTTAAGTACTGTTCCTTTGACAACAGACTTGTGAAAGTAGGAGAAGAATCCAGGTTGAAATAATCTCATTGACTGACCGATGTTATATTTAGTATCTGGCCACTGATATTCATTATTAAAACACCTCAGACAAACACCAACTGGTAAATCCACAATATTCTTGGATTTATTGTTCAGACATGATTAATTTGTCAGGAATTCCCAGATAATCAATATTGCACTGGTGTTCTTTAAAAGCCACTTCTATCATGAACTCTCTACAGAAAGAAAAACTGAGACTAGTATAATGAATTTTTGAGGCCTGGGAAAAAATAATGAATTGATTAATTGAGTTTGTTACTAAAAGTTGTAGAAGAAAAGCTGTGTGTAACCTCTAGTTGCATGATGTTTTTTGAGGTACAAAAACAAGAATGTACATAACAACTTGGATTTAATGTACTATCGAATGAATTATATTACAAAAATGATCCTGTACATCTCTTTCCTAAGACAAATGCAACACTTAATTAAAAACATTCTTGCCTTTGGTCTCTGAAACTTGTCTTGAAGACATTGTATTTTTTAATATTAATTTTCTTTCAAAGTACTTCTTTGTATGTTATTTCTTTTTCTATAGTTTATTATGTTACATAAAGAATTAATGTTTTAATGATTTGGCAATTACATTGGTTTAAGCAATATATGGGGATAGATTCTAAGCAGAGAAATGCCATTAGCTCAGGAAACAATGGAATCTACCCTACTTCTGTGGATATCTTTACTTACTTGCACAATGAATTACCTGTAAGGCACATAGATAAGTAACTTCTAATAAAGTCTTTTTGTGATGAATAGTACCTATGAGGCTCCCTAACAGGGTATGTCCTAATATTTGGAAATTTCTCTTCTTCATGGAACACTTTTACGTTATTCTCTTGTCTTATTTATAGCAATGATTTTTGACTTTTCTCTGGGTACTATTTGACAACAAACATATTTATTTGTTCTTTTTATTGCCTTCTACTTTAAAAAAAATATTCCAAACTCATTTGTGTTGTTCTCTAAACTCAGATGCCCCGTTGTGTTTTTAGATGAGGGAATGATGAGGTCCAGTGACTCCCCCCACATGCCCTTAATGAAAGAGGAGTCTAGTCAAGGTTGACTACCATGTCAGATGTGATGAGTACCATATTAAGAGTATATGATACCTGGCTTAGTCAATAAGGAAAGGAACTTCATTTTGTTTCTCCATAAAGAAATTAGCAGATGTTGACTTAGAAGATTTGGAAGCATCATGGTTTCCTGTTGGTTCACTATTATTTTTCTATTCCATGCCCATAAAAGAACATACAGTTACTTATGAGGTTGGAGAACACATCAGAAATGCAGCCAAAAGGCTATGAGGCAATGATATCCAAAGTTCTGAACTTTGGTCGCTGATTAATAATAACATTGAATACTTTCCCAGAAAGTTAAATAAAAGAGTTGAATACTTCCTACCAAAAGACTATCTGTAAATTTGAACAAAAAGAAAAAAAAATGTTAGGTTAGGCTAAGATTAATCACAAAGGAATGATATTTGAAACTAGTAGTATACAAAATAACATTTCTAATATGAATGTTTAGTGAGTCACATTCCATAAAAATCTATATGGTTCTTACAATGAAGTGAGACCAGTGTAATTGAACATAAGATGGGCTATGCATGGGATAAAATTAGGATATCTCTTCTTTAGCATGTGAAGGACTTAGGGTGACAGTGGCAATTCTTTTGTCAGAAATGTTGTGATCTTATATAAGATTTTGGATGGCAGTTGAATTTAAAGAGAGCTGATCTTTGTGAGTCTATCAGTGTAGTAGCATCAATCACAGTGATCATAGAATCTAACTTCTTGATACTCTACAGCTTATATTTTAAAAACATGTTAAATAAGATACTTCCATTAAAACATACAAAAAATGTGTACTTGAACAAGAGTTCACAAATACTTAGACAGGGAGTTGAGTTGCAAGTTGTCCTGATTATTGTGAAGCCACAGAAGCTGTGCTTACCATCCATTGTGTACATAAGTCTGGAAGACACAAAGAAATTAAAAGTGAAGTACACAATAAGTGTTTTAATATGGAGGCTAAGTGTTGAGGAGAAAGAAGGAAGTGGTTATGGCTTGTAGTGGTTTAGACCTTGGACCAGAGAGGTTATATTAAACCACCTACACAATAAAATATACCAAACGGTTGTACAGGTTGTACCTTCTTTGTCCTGGAAGCTACAAGTCCTATGTGTGAGAAGTATGGTATGCATGATTAAGAGGTAAATACACACACACACTCATATTAGTGTGAATAGTAAACCATCTATGAAGTGGTATCACAAAGGCACTAGTTTAAGATTCTGGAAGATGTAGTAGAGAGGAGTCAAGATGTAGGACATGAGAGAAGAGGTCCAGACTCTTTCTCCGGTAAGATAAGACCGCAAAAACTCTTATATTGATAGAAATAAGTTAATATTTAAGACAGGGCTAGCCAAAAAGAAATGCTAGTAACTGGCCAACAGTTTTTTAATTAAAAACAAACAAACAAAAAACAAAGGTACTAGATTAAATAAGAAAACCTGGCTTTGAGACCAGTTCTGACATCCATGAGCTATCTAACAGTGGATAGTCAAGTAACCACAAGAGTTTTCATGCTCCTTTTACCAAAAAGTAGTACTAAGGCGCATGTTGTCTTATGTCTAAGGATGTATTTAGATTGTCTTAGAGTTACTGAGGTCCTTCTGCTTCTAGCTACCATCATTCTGTAAGCTTGTAATTAGTCTTTTTCTCTGGAATCTGGTGTACAGCTGAAATTTTCTGTGCCTGGGAGATGGTTTAGTAGGAAAATACCAAACTCTCTGACATGGGTGACAGACAAAGCTGTTTCAAACAATACTATTCATCTTTCTTATGTAGCATATGCCTTTGCAAATCACAGTAACAAATCAAAAGCATGTAATCCTTGGTTTTAGCTACATGCCTTCAGTGTTGATGCAAAAGGAAATATGCAAGGAACAATGTTTTACTTGCTCAATATTCAAACTTGCCCCCTTAGGAATTATGTGATCCTGGGGAGGCTCTGTGTTGCTGTTCTTTGTATTGTTTTAACTATTCTGCACTTTTTTTTTCCTGATGTAAACTTTAGGGAGTAGCATCTACCCACAAAGTTGTTTGTGAAGCCTATGAAACGTTTATGCAATGTTTGGCATAAACATAGCATATAGTGTTTTAAGAATGTTAATTATTTAGATTATGTATCCATTACTAAGTCATCATACTAGCTGAAGAATGAAGGGATAGGCATTTTCCAGCTTGGTCCTAAAGCTTGAAGAAGAAGAAGACATTAACAAAGAATGCTTGAAAGTGCTGTGATATTTTGCAGGCTGGTTAGGGGACCAAGAACATTAGGAGCCCTTGATAGTCATAACTTGATGCTGTTTTCTTCTCAAGTTGACACCTATCTGAAAATGCTACATTTGTTTTCAGTGACCTTCAACCAAACAAAGCCCAGAGAAGCCAGTACTGCTGGGAGTGAGGGTGAATCTAAGCTACTTGAGGCACTCTCCCTGAAAGAGCGGATGGCAAGGTACCAGGAAGCTGTTTCCAAGGGTGACACCCGCAGCTTCTCAGCTAATGTAAGCAACACTGTAGAACTGTGAATGAGGTGATATGCATGCTGTCTATACATACCTCTTAATATTTTTGAAAACAAGAATAGTACTAGGTGTTATGATACTTCTTACAAAAGAGAAAAAGAACAAATACATAAAAATGTGAATGCAATCCAGACCTTCTGACTTGAAGGACAGGTGTGCAGTTTGATGGTTCAACAAATCTGAACTATTTATTCTCTTGACCCCTCCCTGAGCTTTATTTTTCTGCACTGAACAATGGCACTAATCATCTACTATATAGGGTCTTGGGGAAGAACAGGGAGATAGCTTGTGTGGAAGCCAAGAGGCACTGCATAAATGTGTTATTATTGTCATCATTATAACACTTAACCTATAGCTATTCTCCCCAGGAAGGTTGAGAATTAATTTCATATTTTAATAATGTGGGCTTATGTGCTGCCCTCCTTCTTTCTGTGTATCATTCATTTAAATTCTCTTGCAGTGTAATTTCTTTTGCTTTTCTCTGTATGTACTGAATCCATTAGGAGAGGCTTAATCAACATAGAAATGAGATTATCAATGCAGGCACTTTACTAAGCCAATTATGATTATGGGAAACTCTGAGATGCAGAAAGACCACCAATTTTAGAGCCAACCCATAATAAAGTGATATTCAAAAGAATTTGTTGGATTCTGCATTCTGTGCCCTTCAGCTTGATGAAATATAACAATGTTCTTTTATAATTATAATCCCCAAATTAGTCTTGAGTGTATGTGCATGAGTGAGAGAAAGACAGTGAGTGAGACAGAGAGTTTCCCAAAGGTAGAATTTAAAAATAGCTATTCAACATTTACAAATTATTTAGAGGCAGGGCTGACTGTGCCAAACTCATTAACAGCCCTGCAATTTCAAATGACATTTAAGTTTCTACATAGTCATTAAAAACATTTTGGATACTGCATAGATTTAGAATGCATGTGCAGAAGTGACATGAGTAACTCGATCATTTCCAAAACAAACACTGTCAGCTCAACATCGCTTCCTGCTAGTCTTCCTAGTGAGCACCCCCTGCTGGAGTATTTAAGAATGTTACCAAGTAGTTTTAAATTACCAGGGAGTCGACAGAGAAATATATAAAACCTTAGAAGAAAAAAAAAATGTAAGCTATCAGATAGTTTCTAAGATGAGAAAATGCCTCATTAAATATGTGTTATTTAATAAACAATGGTTTTACTTAGGAAGACTTAGATCTCTTCCCATAATTGGATAATGTGTCAAAAAACAGATTAGTATCATAGCATGATTTATACTTCTAAAAATTAGAGCACAGTTGATTTTCAATTCAAAAATTCTAATAATTAAAAATACTTCTATAGAGGATGTTAACTCTGTTTAGTCATTGACTGATCTTTCTCTAGCCTTAACATTTTGTGATTTATTGACCTTTGCTACATTTATTCTATCCCTTCCATTGTCTAGCTGCTAGAAATACCAACATTTCCCCAATGTGTTCATACTCAGTGCCCTGTTTATTATTGCCCATTGTAGTTTCTGTGCCTTCAAATGGGCAAAATTTGAAATGCTACTTTAAAAAAAAATCCTTTGACCTTAAAAAGCAACTAGAAAAAAAACTCTTTTGTAATGGGAAACTCTTTCTTTTGAAAATTGTTCCCGTCCAGGATTTAGTAAAAAGAGGCCTATTTCAACCATTTTGACATTTTGTTACTGTTTGCAAACAATGTTCTTTGAGCCAGGATCACTCCTTATGCTTCTTTTATGCCCAATGCTTTTATCATGGTGATCAGAAATGAGATCTCACTGTATGCTGGAAGGAGTTCTTCCCCAATTCATGGTTAGTGAAGAATGAGCTGCTGTTGGGTCTGATTAACTGTCCATGGACTAGGAATATGCTGTGTTGTATCTGGAGGCTACTGAATGCCTAAGTAAAATGTATACAAATAAATTGAATGATTCTGTTCAATAAATGACAGAAATTAAGATGGATATGGAAGTTTGCTGTGTAAAAGAATACAATAATTATTTTTATTTCTGCCCATGTTATAGGCTGAAAATTTATCGAAAACTACTTGTAAAGGATTGTACAATTACTAAGTTAAATTCCTAGATCTATAATGCCAGTGCTATTCTTACTGTATTTAATGTTCCGTTTTCATACAAGAGAGTGTTTTAGCCTCCAAACTTCAAATGTGTCTCAAATATCATGACCAAGAAAATATTGCAATAAAGAACAACATTTATAAGCTCAAAAGCATTCTAGTAAATAGCATAAAACAAAGTAAAATGAGGTCTTGTCAGTGGTCTCAAATGCTGCATCACTTAGGTAAATTAAGCAACTTGTGATTATCCTACACCACTGACACAAACTTTGCAAGTGGAAAAACTAGAAGCCACAGATTCAACCCAAACTGAGTACAGTGTGCTTGAGCAGCTGACAGTGAGCAACATTCCCATTGTGCTAACTGCCACCTGGTATGTGTGTCTCTAGATGCCCACCATGCCCATGTGATAGTAGCAGTCTGTAGACAGCCCTAGAAGAAAGAATGAAGCAATATGTGCAGAGCAACAAATTAAATGCCAGATTCTGCAGTGTAGCTATACTCTTTATCTTTTTTAGCAGACACCAAAAATCTGCAAAGAGACATATTGCTCTGTCCAGTTCATAAAAAAAAAAAAAAAAAAAAAAAAAGTAGCTTCAGGAACCGGAACGTTAGCTCAGGATTTTTTTTTTTTTTTTTTTTTTTTAATCAGAGCAAGGAGTTTTGCGACATCCTAAATTATCCTGCTTCTCTTTAGTCCTAGTACCCAAAACATTTTCTTTGTCATTGGTTACAATTTGCATCTTAAATTGGTATTTACCTAGGTTTAAGTAGCGGGCATTTAAATTAACTCATTATTATTATTGACATACCCATTAGATTCCTGATCTTATTTCCAAGTCTAAGCCTCAGTTAAGAGTTCATTAAAAGTAATACACACTAGTTGAAGCATTCAGAGCACTGTAATAAACAAAGCAAGACCACTGGGGTGTTCCTATGAGTAGGTGTCACTCCAGATACAGCTACCAATGGCAAATCTTGCCATCTCACATGGGAAGTCCTTCTAAAAGAATATTTCAAAGCAGACTTAGCACCATTACTGTTCTCCTTTGGAGAGAAATCTATCTGACTCAGTTTGACAAACAGCAGCAGCAACCCTATGCACTTGTGTATGTGTAATGTCCCTGCTCCCAAAGTAGATGTCAAAGAAAAGGAAGGGTAAAGCTAAATTTTAATCCATATGGTAGGTAAGAAGTGAGCTGTACCTGTAAGCAAAGAACTAATACTTCTTTGAAGAGTACCTTGTATTCAACATAATTACTGAGGCTTTAAAAATAATTTGCATATGATTGTGCATTGCTTATAGATTTTTAAATAATGAGGTCCTTAACAATAATCACTAAATTCCTATAACCTAAAAGATATTTTATTTTCATATGGTCTATTCTAAGAGGAAACGTTCAAAATATTGGTAGATGGGATTAAAGGAACTATTGTGTCTTTAATGTTTCTGATTCTTTTTTGTTTGTTTGATTTTGTTTTTATTAATTTTTTATTTGTATTTTACATATTGATCCCAGTTCCCTCTCCCTCCATTACTCCCTCCCATTTTCCCTCCCTCCTATCTTCTCATACATCCTGACTACCCTCCCTTCCCATCCCACCCCACTGCACTTGTAGGGTGATGCCTTCCAGGAGGGGGTCATCTAAATCTGTTAAGTCATTTGAAGTAGGGACTAGGCCTTATATCCTGTCTCTAGATTAAGGGAGTATCCCTCCATGGGGGATGTGCCCCCAAAGTCCTTCTTTTGTACCAGGAATACATCCTGATTCCACTGTCTGAGGTCCCTTAGACTGCTCAGGCCTTCTAGCTGAGACTCATGTTCAGGGGGTCTGAGTCAGTCCCATGCTGGATTCCCAGCTATCAGTCTGGGAGGGGCCCATTAGTTCTTCCTTGTTCAGGTCATCTGTCTGTGTTTCTGCAGCCTGGTCTTGTCCTCCATCTTTGCATCTGGATTCCAGTTCGGCTCAGTGTTTAGTTGTGGGAATTTGTTTCTATTTCCATGAGGGCTCCATGATGGTAGATAAGTTAATTAGTCGTCGATCTCATTATCAGGGAAGGGCATTTATAGTAGCCTTTCCACTGTTGCTCAAATTGTTAGTTGGGATCAGTCTCGTAGGTCTCTGGACATTTCTCTAGGTTCAATTTTCTCTTAAAATCTATAATGGCTCTCTCTTTTATACTCTCTCTCTCTCTCTTTTCTCTCATCTATTCCTCCCCTGACTTCCTAGTCCCTAGTGCTCTCCTCTCCTCTTTCTCCTAGTTCCCTCTCTATTCACTGCCCCCCCCACTCCCCAATCCCCATATGTTCTGGAGATCTTGTCTCATTCCCCTTCTATGAGGGACCTTATATGAATCTTTTAGAATCCTCCTTATATCCTAGTTCCTCTGGTGGTGTGAATTATAGGCTGGTGATCTTTGTTCTAGGTCTAAAATCAATATATGAGCAAGTACATACCATGTTCCTCTTTTTGTGACTGGGTTACCTCATTCAAGATGCTTTCTTCAAGTGCCATCCATTTCCCTGCGAATTTCAAGATTCAAAATTTTTCCCCCACAGAGTAGTATTCCTTTGTGTAAATGTGCTATCTTTATCCATTCTTCATTTATCCATCTTCTTTATCCATTCTTCATTTGAGGGGCATCTAGGTTGCTTCCAGGTTCTTGTTATTAAAAATAATGCTACTATGAACATAGTTGAGCACATGTCTTTGTTGCATGGATGTGGATCATTTGGGTATATGCCTAAGAGGGGCATTGCTGGGTCCTGTGGTAGAATGATTCCCATTTTCTGTTTCTGATTCTTTGCTCTTTTAAATTTCAAAGTGAACATCAACCTTTTTGTGACCTTAGCATATACTAAATGTTGTAATTGTTTAGGAATTGCATTTAACATTTCAAAGAACTACAGAATATATATGGAATACATGGAAGAACACAACCATTTATCTTCCCTTTGAGCAATTCTGAAATGACTGAGAAAGCATGAAGCCAGAGAAAAGTTGTTATGGTAATACAAACACTCTAGTGCTTGACAGCATTTCAAATAACACTGCAAGAGCTCAGACTCAGGTAATTCCATATCAGTTCCTGAGATAGATGTATTTCTCACAGCCATTCCAGAAACCCCAGGTTATGCACCTAACTGTCAGGACTCCTGTGATTTCATGACTAATACGGTCCTAGGCTCGCAGGCCTATTTGTATCAGTACTGGACCAGAACCTCAGGAGTTCTGCTATAGTATGAAATGTCACTGAATCTCCACCCAACACATGTAGAGCTATAAGTTTCCTAGGGAAAGAGCTGACATGGGGTCAGGTTGCTTATCACTTGGCATCCAATCTGGATGTGAATTTCTAGGCTATTGAACTGTTTAATCATCAAAATGAAAGCCCTAGGCACTTTTGTACTTCCCTGGGAGTCATATACTATGACATGGCTCCTCGGTACCATGCAAGCTGTTTCCCAAGTTATGTATAAAGATCAGTTTTCTCATCTGAAAATGTGCCCCTCTAGCCAAACCTCCTATTCATGCTACTTGGTTCTGACATGGCAGTGCTCAAGGCCAAATTGGAACACACCAGCTCTAGTGAAGAGTAGCAGTGTCCCTGTCTAGTCATTGAGGTTATGACTGAGACAGACAGGAGTGATTCAGATTTGATGCCTTAACTTAATAGCCTGCATTTCAGAAAATAAGCTGTTTTACATTTCTATGGCTCATCTTCTTTAGATTAAAATGTAAATAAATGATGTCCATAGCTCATAGAATACCAAGAAGCATGAACTGTTGGAAATATAATGTATCCAAAACTCACCTCACACTGTAACTCTGGAATGTTGTGTTTTTACTGATATTTTTAAGTCGTTTTACATAAAGCACTTTATTTTGTTCATCCAAAATAATTTAAATAAAACTTGGTATTACTAAAAAAGATTTGAATAAATATTCTTGATAATGTGTCTGTTGCCTGTACAGGTGTTTGAGATTTTAATGACAGCTTTAGTTTGAGTAACAATTGATTTCATTATTCTCATACACACAAGTTATCTAGTATATTATTAGAGGAACATGGTACTCAATCTAATATAGACATCAACATTTACCTGGAAGAGGGTAATATTATTCAGTGTTATGAAGATATATTATATACAACTCTAGTAAATGGCAAAGCTGGACAATTTAGTTTCAATGGAAGGCTATCACAATCATTTATGTTAATATCTTTTTTGTGTTCCACCCATAAATAATTGTCAACTATAATGCAAAAATAGCCTGAGCATACCATCTGCACAGATGAAATGCTGAAATATCTTCTTAAATCACCTTAGGTCATGGAAGAATCAGAAGTGTTCACAGTGCCTGGTGGTTTAGCCAAGATGAAGAAACAATTTGAAAAGGATGAAATGACTTCAACCTGTAATGCATTTTCTGAGTATCAATACCAACACCAAAGCAGATATGAACAGGTAATGCCACTATGGTTGATGGGTAAATCATTTAGAGGCAAATTTGTTCTCACTGATGTAGAAATACTCCTTTTATGGTGGTAGAATTATTTTCATTGCTCATTTAAAAATGATCATTTAGAAAATCATTTAAGCATATTGATGTGTTGATTTACTCAGCTGGAATACTTTGCCATGTGAGCCATATTGGAATGTTCTCTTTCAGCATCTTCCATTTCAGACATAAATGAAAGTTAAATAGTATAACTTAGTCAACAAGTAAATAGAAATGCTGAGAGCAATGTTTGCATTGAGCTTCTGTTTCTAGGATGTCATTCATAAAGGGCTATCTGTTGGTTTGTTTACATAGTTGAAATATGAAGCATTATTCAGCTTTTGTGTGGGGAGTTTTATTTTGTTTTCTTTAAAATCACCAAACATTGTGCAGTAGAACCCAGATGTTACATAAAATCACATAATATGACTTCTGTTACACATAATGTTTCCTCTTCTACTACTTCAGTATCATATATCATTAGATATTTTCATGAGGTATAATGGTTTTTAAGTGTGAAAACTCAAGAAATAAAACCCATCAGACAGAACTTGTCACTCAGAATATTCACTTCAGCATAAACAGCTATACTTTGAGCCTGTGTTTTCCATGAGGAAGGAAATAACTGGGTTGTAAAATTTTGCATCAGGAAATAATTGGGTGTGTTTTATTATTTTAAAAAACCCAGAGTAAATGCATAGCTAAATAAATTTTATGAATATAAAACAGTCAGGCACTACATGTGCCAAAGAGTTATTAAAGCATCTGGTGGAATGATTAAAGTCTAATACCTCAGTTATAGTTATCTTGTTTTAATTCTGCCAAAGCATGGAAACATGTAATGTAGTTAGCTGAATATACCTACTACAGTAACTCTAATGATGGCTAAATGCATATAATGTGAGCAAGAAAGTAAGACATGGTATATCTTTGATCACATATGTAATTGTTGAAATATAGGAAACTAAGTGGGTCAAGTGTAGATGGAGCATTTAACTGAAATTTGTCAAAAAATACAATATAAATATGTTAATAAATTAAGTAATCAATTCCTCACAGAAGCAAGAATATGTTTGTAGACACATTACTCTTAAGAAAACGGTGTTCTCTAAGACCATAAGTTTTTGGGATTCACAAATCAGAGTTTCAGAGTAGGTTCAATCCTTGATACTCATCTGTCGAATGACCTAGAGCCTCCTTCTTTAGTATACACAGTTGTATAAGGCCTTCCCACAATGCTTAGGAGGGCCTGTTCTTAGTTTAACACTGCACTCTCCATTCTGAATTCTGCAATAGTTTTCAAGCAAATGACTCCATGCTTTCATTTCATTTGATTATGAATATGATATTCAATATATGATTGTTAAATTGTACTCACATATGTAAACATAACAAAAACACAAGATCCTCCTAAATGAAATTCACAAGTAAGTAGTTAGTTTAGGCTCCTTGTAAAATTTAGGCTGACTTGTAAAATTCTCTAATCTTTACATTTTAGGTAAAGTTTGCAAAACAGATGCTATATTAGTAGCTGGAAGATTGGCATAGTGTGGCCTCTTTGTAGTAGTCAGGGACACAGATATTAGATTCAGAACAGAGGTTCAATTATCTACTCCTTTAGTTATACGAGTGACACCTGACAGGGCCCTTAACTTCTCTGTGATTTAAGATTATAATGGAATCTATCTCCTGAATTTATTTACATAAACAAGTTAACATTCAAAGGGATTAAAGCAATGCCTAGAGCCTAAGTTAGGTAACTCAGTGATGAAGAGTATATACTGCTCTTACATTTGCATCATGACTCACAGTCACCTGCTTTTGAGCTCCTAGGGATCCATCACTCTCTTTTGGCTTCTACAGACACTATTTGCTCACAGACATGAATAAACCTACATACATAAATACATATATACATATGCATATGCACACACACACAAAATTAAATTTAAAAAGAAAAATTCAAAGGACAAGCCAATGCCTAGACCATCAAATAGACTACAAACTACATATTTGTTTACTAATTTGTTTCATTTTTCACTTTAATTATATTTCTTCTTATCATTAAGTCTTGTTCCATCTTAGTCTGTCTGTCACTCATATTTACTGAGAATGCTTTTTCCAGGGTTAAGACACACACACATACATCATACATACATTCACATAGAGAGAATAAATAAATAAACAAACAATAAAATAAAATAAGTAGCAGCCTTCAGCATCCTGCCTCTGAATGGAGGACACACATTCATCATTGAGCAAATTGCTGTGGCCAGAGTGCACTGTCTAGCTCAAGTTCCTACCTGCACCTTGTTTACCTACAAGGAAGTTCTCAGCATATGTTTATCAATGAAGAATACATCCTGTAGAAACCAGAATAAAGGAAGCACAGGGGCACTATGTGCTTCTTATGAGTTACTAAGATACAGACATGTTTTGTGGCTAAGAAACACAGAAGTACATGAAAGCAACAAGAACAACACATCAAGAAGTGTAGTTACTGTCTAAGCTTCACTTTCATTATTTACCTATAGATAGTGTAATAATATATGAAAATTCCCTAAGGATAAATAGACCTATGTCTCTACAATGCACTTTATAATACAAAGCAATCACAGGGAAATTAAGCTAACAAGCAGCATTTATTTAATGCCTCTTTCATATAGAATCCTATGAGAAACAAGTTATCTTTACCTTTAAAAAAAGAAAAATCTTTAGTTGAAATCTTGATTAGAAAACTGATATTTAAAAAAAAAAAACTGTAGAAATGATCCCTGAGAGGGAGGAGAGATGAGCAAATGGGTCAAGGCTGTGCTAGAGAACCCCACAGAAACAGCTGACCTGACCAAGTGAGAGCAAAGGACCCCAGTCATAAAGCTGGGGAACCAGCATTGGACCAAACCAAGCCCCCTGAATGTGGGTGCCAGTTAGGAGGTCTGGGCAGTCTATGGGACCTCTAAGAGTGGAACCAGTATTTATCCCTAGTGCACAAAGCGACTTTGGGAACCCATTTCCTATGGAGAGATACTCTCTCAGCCTAAATACACAGAGAGCCTAGGTCCACCCCCAAATGATGTAACAGACTTTGATGATCCCCCATGGAAGGCCTCACTCACCCACCCTGGGGAGTGGATGGGGGTGGGATTTGGGGTTCAGTGGAGGGAGGCAATGGGAGAGAGAGGAAACTGGTATTGATATGTAAAATAAGATTGTTTCTAAATTAAATAAAAAAGAAATATGAGATAAATGTTAAATCTGATTCTAGAGGAGAAAGGGAAAAGTATCTTAGATATCCACTTAGACTTTTTAAACAATCTAAATACATACTAAAAATGTATATTTTTTTTCAAGAGATGAAGGATGCATGCCAATAGATGGTTAGTTAATTTTGTATTTACATAGATATTTTCGGCTCAGATATTTGGTGTATTGAAAGTACTTGAGATCTATCTTCCTGCTCAGTCTTCCTTTGGCCAAAGATATTTAATTTGATGACATGCAGTAACTGATTTTAATTTGGAAGGCAATTTAATTAGGGTGAAAAGAAAGAACATTTGTATTGGGTTTCTGACAATATTTAGTGTCACTGTTAGTAATGTTTTCATTACTTGTAATAATTAAGTCCAATCTGCTCCTCACCTTTCTAATGTATTGAAGTCAGAGTTTCAAGGTAATTGAGATTTGGTAACAGTTTGCCTTAGAATCAGCAATTGGCTTGAAAACAGAGCTATATGTAAATTAGAAGTTCCTTATAGTTGCTTTATACCTTCTGCAAAGAAAATGCTTAGTTATTTTCCCTATAACAGACACCTGAGAGAAAGACCATGAGGAGAGTGGAGTTTGTTTTGCCTCAAAGTTTCAGGGTATTTAGTCCCTTAAAGTGGAGAAGGCAAGCAGAGAGGCCCGGCTTGTGACAACAGATTGCTGCTACTCACATTGCGGGAGGTCAGGAAGCAGACACTTTAGAACTGGAACCAGACTTAATGAGATTAATAATTAATGTATGTGCCATCATAGAGCCCTCATCTAGTAGCTGATGGAAACAGAAGCATACACCCACAGCTAAACACTGAGCCAAACTCCTGGAATACAGATGCAGCGAGGGAGGAGTGATAAGAAAATGGGGATAAGACCAGGCTACAGAAACCCACAGAGACAGCTGACCTGAACAAGTGAGAGCTCATGGACCCCCAGATTGACAGCTGGGAAACCAACATTGGACCGACTCAGATTCCTTGAACGCGGGCCTCAGTTAGAAGGCCTGCGCAGTCTAAGGAACCTATGACAGTGGAAGCAGGATGTATTCTAGGTGCACAAAAGGACTTTGGGAGCACATTCCCCATGGAGGGATAGATACTCCCTTAGCCTAGAGGCAGGAGGGAGGGCCTAGTCCCTACTCCAAATGACTGGATAGATTTTGATGACCCCTCCTGGAAGGCATCACCCTGCCTGTGGAGTGAGTGTGTGGGGTGGAGAATTGGGTGGGAAGTGGGCTGGGGGGGGGGCGGAATAGGAGGGAGGGAGAGGGAACTGGGATCGATATGTATAAAAATAAATATGAGCAATAAGCTGACTTCCATCACCATTGGCAGCCTTTCCAGTAGCTAGGCAACATACTAAAGATTCCATAATCTCCCCAACAGCACTACCTGCTATGAATGAAATGTTCAAATCCATGAGTTTATTTGTTAAAGTCAGCCAAAACAAGGGAACCAAGACATAGGAACATTCATTGATGCTAGAGACATTAATCATGATGAAACCTCATCTCAGATGGGGAACTACCCAGGCTATATGGTTCCATTTAACAGCAGCCTTACTGCTGCCCAGTGAAATAGCCAAGGGAAAATTATTAGAGGCATCCTCAGTCCCTGGAAGAAGAGGGATTAGTGGTAGGACAAATTTACCTTTGTAGAAGAAGAGAATTGTGGCTGGGTGGTAGAGCATGCCTGTCATCTGTTATCCC